CAGGAGGGGAGGCTGGGGGGAGGGGAGAGGAAACAAGGGGAGGACAAAGCGGGTGAGGAGAGAGATTAAGGCGTCTCAGTCTCGTTAATACTCCCCAGCTCCAGGGTTTCCTGCTGAACCCTAACCTGCCTCCCCCCTCCTCTTGCACCCCAGCAAGGGTCACTAGTGCTAGAGAAGTTCATGGAGGACAGGTCCATCAATGGCTGTTAGCCGGGATGGGCAGGGATGTGTCCCTAGTCTCTGTTTGCCAGAAGCTGGGAATGGGCAACAGGGGATGAATCACTTGATGATTACCTGGTCTGTTCATTCCCTCTGGGGCACCTGGCACTGGCCGTTGTTGGCAGACAGGAGACTGGGCTAGATGGACCTTTAGTCTGACCCAATCTGGCCGTTCTTATGTTCTTATGTGGTGCTGCCCCACCCTGGCCTGGCATTATATCAGGCACAAACCCCGCCAGTTGCGAAAAGGGCAGGGACGGGTCTCCACTTACCGGCCAGGGCCCCCCATGCCCAGGGGAGGAGCAGCAGAGGGAGCAGCATCCAGGCAGGGGAAGCGGGATCCCGGCTCTGGCCAGTGTCAGTGCAATGGGACGAGGGGCCCAGGGTCGCCCACAGGTTGTCGGTTCCTCCCCAGGCCACAAGCCTCGCCACCAACTTCTCTCTTTGTCTGTCTCTGCTCAGCTCTGTGCCCGCAGCTGCCAGCCCCAGCCAATCAGGGCAGAAGGAGTCGGGGAGCGACGGCAGCGCGGGAGAGGGATCCCCGGCGGCAGGGTCAGAACTAGGGCCGGATCCGCACGTAGGCAAACTAGGCCGGGACGCAGGGCTCGCATGCGTGGCCAATGTCCTGCTCCTCACCCTGCCCAGGGGCTCTGCCCACAGCAGCACCCTCGGCCCTGGCACTGCAGCCAAACTTGGCCTAGCGTGGAGGGGCGGTTCGGGGGGATGGAGAGGGAGTCCACCCCCACTCCTGCTGCAGTGACAGGCCTGCACTGTGGGGCTGGGCCTGGCTGCCCCCAAGTGATGGGGGAGATCGGGCTGAAGAGACAGAGTGGAAGGGAGGGCAGAGCCCCCCCCATCTGCCCTCCCTCCCACTCCCCTCCCTTTACCTGCCTGCCCCTCTCTCTCCCAACATCCCTCCCTGCTGACCCCTCCCTCTCCCAATAGACCCTCCCCACCCTCCCATAAGTCCCTCCCCATTGCAATAGCCCCTCCCCTCACTGCTCCTCCATTCCAATGCCCCCACCTGCCGCTCCCTCCCGCAATAGCCCCTTCCCCTCCCATCACTCATTAGCCCCTCCCTCCCTGCCCTCTTTCCTATTAGCCCTCTCCCACTCTCTGCCCCACCCTCCCGCTCATTAGCCCCTCCCACTCTGTGACCCCGCCCCCTCGTACTGTGTCGCTGTGTGTTAGCGCCATTCGTCGCTGGGTGGTGTCAACCGAGGCAGCAGGAGGGAGTGAGGGAAAAGGGTGGGAAATGGGTGCGGAGGCAGCATGAGGCGCCAACAGCCTCGGACAGCACAAGGAGGGAGGGGCCAATAGTAAGCTGAGGGGGTGAGAGGGCCCAGCTGACACCCTGAGTACACTCCCCCCCCCCCCAGGTATTAATAATACCCTGGGTTAATTAATAAGTAAAAAGTGAATTTATTAAATACAGAAAGTAGGATTTAAGTGGTTTCAAGTAGTAACAGATAGGACAAAGTGAATTACCAAGTACAATAAAATAGAACACGGAAGTCTATGTCTAAAAGAAACTGAATACAGATACAACCTCACCCTTAGAGTAATTCCAGTAAGCTTCCTTTTACAGACTAGTCTCCTTCTAGCCTGGGTCCAGCAATCACTGATACCCCGTGTAGTTACTGTCCTTTGTTCCAGTTTCTTTCAGGTATCCTTGGGGGTGGAGAGGCTCTCTCTTGAGCCAGCTGGAGACAAAACGGAGGAGTCTCCCAGGGGTTTAAACAGACTTTCTCTTGTGGGTGGAGACCCCTTCCTCTCTCCTACGCAAAGTCCAGCTCCAAGATGGAGTTTTGGAGTCACATGGGCAAGTCACATGTCCATGCATGACTGAGTTTCTTACCAGCCCAGCCACATTCCTGGGAAAGCTCCGATGTGGATTGGCATCTTCGAGTTCATTGTTGGCTTAAGTGGTTCTTGATTGAGCACTTAATTTGCACACCCCTTTCTCAAGACGCTGACCAAATGCTTTACCAAGGCTATCAAACAAGTACACAGCCAATATTCCTAACTTCAAGTACAAAAACGATACGTGCATACAAATAGGATCAATAGATTCAGTAGATCATGACCTTTACATAGATATTTAACATGGCATATGTAGCATAAAACACAGTCTAGTTATGTCCTAGATACATTCATAAGCATATTCCATAAATCATGATGGCGGCACCGTCACAGGGGGATCCCACTGTGCCGGGGTTTCCCCCACTGAGCCCTGGAGCAGACGCTGCTTTTCCACAGAGAAGCTCCCCATATTCATCCTCAGCAGTCGGGCTCGTCTCTAAAGCCATTTGCTGGGGTCAGGGCAGGTCTGGGGGTTGAGCCTTGTCACCCACAGAGTCCCCTATTTCCTCCAGCGCAGAGTGAGCACTCAATTGCTGCCCCATAGCTGGGGGCGCAGCCCCACAGGGTGACCTC